GCGGGGTGGAAAGGCGGTCACGCTCAGGGCGAAGGCTCACAGCCCCCTCGCGGTGGGAGACGGAAGGCCACAGAGACGGCTGGAGTGGGAGGAGGATTCGAAGGGGGATTTGGAGTCGATGGCAGCGCCGAAAGTAGAGCAGGATATAGAGTAGAAGATAGACTAAAATATAAAGCCGAAGGTAGACAAAAGACAAAGTCGAAGGTGGAGTGGAAGATGAAGCCGAAGCTAGAGTGGAAGCTAGAACCGAAGCTAGAGTGGAAGCTAGAACCGGAGCTAGAGTGGAAGCTAGAACCGGAGCTAGAGTGGAAGCTAGAGCCGAAGCTAGAGTGGAAGATAAAGCTAAAGCGAGAGTGGAAAATAAAGCCGAAGCTAGAGTGGTAGAAATCGAAGGCAGTGAATGATGGAATCGACAAATGTCCTGGAATCTTACCCGAAGAGTGAAATAAATAATAAAAAATCACAATCAGTAAAAAAAACAAAGCTTGTGAAGAGATAGAAGAACTGAAAGAGCCAAACTACAGAATTAATAATGCAAAATTAGTTCAATGGATTAATGATAATAAAGAACAAAACTGTTCATTAGAATACAGTAAGATATTAAAACGCAATGATTACGAGAGAGAGGAGATAGAGGAGAGAGAGGAGAAAGAAGAGAGAGAGGAGAAAGAGGAGAGAGAGGAGAAAGAGGAGAAAGAGGAGAGAGAGTGAGAGCGAACGCGGGAACGAGAGCGAGAGGGGAGAGGGAGGGAGGGATATAGAGACAGAGACAAACACAGACAGAGAGAGACAGAGACAGAGAGGGAGAGGGAGAGAGATTTATCACACTAGAGGAACTAGCACAAAAATACTGGGATCATGAAAGTCAGTTAATGCGAAAAATGCGTAAGGAAGCGGAAAGAAAAAGAAAGAAAAGAAAAATTTCGCTAAAAACAGAAACCATAGAGAACAAGAAGTGGTTGATGTCCGTAAATGATAGCAAGTGTAAAAGGTAAAGGATACCAAAGCGCTATCGCCCACACGCACAGCACGGTCCAAAGCTGTATAGAGGTAGCCAACCGCATCTGCCACCTATCACCACCCTTCTGAAAGACCTTCCCCCCGCCCTCCCTCACAGCCAATCCCAGCAGCCCTGAGGCTCGGCGCTTGACGAGGTCACCGCGAATGAGGTGTCGCCGACGCTCCACACGCTCTACCTGCCGCCGGAGCCAGTCCATCCTCGGCAGCATCTGCGCGCTGAAATGCAGTGCTGGCCACTGAGCTTCACTTTTCCCTCCGATTCATTCCCACCTTTTCAATCGCAGCCTCCGAGAGAACCAATAGGAACCTCGGGATGTTCTTGAGCGCCAAATTCTCACATTTTACTACCTTGTGTATTTCCTTAAACCAGGTGGTAATAAGTTCATAATATCGAAGATTAAAAAGAACAAGGCAAACAAATTAGTTTACTAATTAGTTTTTCATTTCCAATTTAATCTCAGCCAGGGTGAAATATTTTCCCGTGAAAAAGAATACAAAACGACAGCCAAACATGAGGCGTCTGTGTCTAGCTGAGCATGCCACACAGCCAAGTCTATATTGCCTTCGACAGCAGAAACTACGCTTTCAATTGAAAATAATATTCTCTTTAGCTATCTTTAAAAATAACATTTATTTCTCAGAAGGCTTTAACCAGGTTTTATTACACAAGCAAGTTAGAAACGACTCATTTGTCACTCACAAATTGCCATTATAAACGGGACCATTAATATTACGCTTCACGCGTTTCAAAACACATGTCACAAATTCGAATCTAGTGGGCGGAATTTCTGTTTGTCCCGCAATCGCCTTCATTCACAACTCCAAGTCGTCCTCACATGTCCCATTGCGGCGCTGCGCCATCTCCGTCCCCGTTCGCGACCGGACCGCTCTGTAGAGCCGTCTCTCGTGAGCTAAGAGCCCTTCGGGGGAGGTATTCATTCAGGCAGGGGACACGGCGAGGACGACACAGGGAATGTTATAGTCGCTATACTTTTCCGTTACTGTCCCGCATTGAGTGCACTTTCTCTCAATAGCCGCCTCTCAGGAAGACTGCAGATAGACCCACCGACGAATAGAATGGAATAAGGGGTCCGCGATCGAACTAAATTGGACCAAGGGACTTCATCGCTGGAAACGTTACGGAACCGTGTTCAATATACCGAGAGAATATTTGAGCATTGCGTAATATGGAAGCGATATTATTACGTATAAGTTACAATTGTGTCACACATGTGATCAATTTCTACGTAGTCGTCCTATGCGCGAATTTTAAAAGGGCATATAGAAATTTACCGTATAATGCTTGAAGTTCAGTTTTGTATTAGTAGGCTAATGACTTAGAGCTCCTGCTGTGAATTAAATATTGGAACAATTTTATATAATATTTAGCATGGCAATAAGTATTGCGTAATATAGAAGCGTTCTATCGTATTACACAAATCTCTCCATTATATCCTGCAAAACATCTGACACTAATTTATCCAGCCATGTGCGAGATGTCAGTGGTGCTTTTAGGTATCCAGAAACTTTGAGAAAAACAAAAGCAATGAAACACTTTTCAATTTGACTGATACAAACATTTTACTATGTTAATCTACAATTTCTCACCTAATATTATATTTATAATCTTGCTCCAAGCGTGTCATTGCTTTGACACAGCTGTCATTAAAAGTCAATAAAGAAACAATCATTGTTCACGTGTACAGTTTCAGCAAACCAAGGTTTGCTGCTGCAGATCAATAGTACTATATAAGTGTAAATGAAATGTACTTGAAATTCGTATGAAGCGTAGTTGTTGAAATCAATAGCCGACATATGGAGGATGTACATTCTAACACCACATAAGGTATTTGTGTTTTTAAAGTTTCTGGAATGGAAGCCAATGAATATATCCATGTAATTACACTGTCAAATTCCTATTCTTGTTAGTCGAGAAGTGATGAAATGCCTACCTCAGATCTGGCTGTCTCAGCTATAAGGCAACTAGTGGTACAATAGCACATATTTTCACGCAAAATTTGAATCTCCTACGCAATACTATACTACTACACGAGACTGCAAATGTATTTTCAATCTGCCACATTTTTTCCGCTTCAAGACTAACTCAAGTCCCCTGAGTGAATTCGCTATGCCCCTTACCTCGATTATTTCCTTTTCCAAGTCCTGACAATACTAGATTTCGAATAAGAAATTCGCCGTTATCTGGCGCACTATTACAACACAACACTTGCTATTACTACTCTGCTTACGAAGTAAGTGCGAGAAAGTAAAACTAAAAGACGTTGAGATGGGCTTCCTCGATACGGCGGCGCCCCAAGGAGCAGTGCGCAGATTTTGTCCGAGTGCGAGTCTTGCGGTGCGACCTTATTACTGACGAACTAACCAAGAAACAGAAGTCATGCAACGGTCTCCGAAGCAGCCACAAATAGATTCATTAATTGATGATTGAGTCAACTGCTAAAGTCATTAGTCCTGGACTTGTAATGTCTATTTACCACCAGGACATGGCGGTGATCTTTCCTCGCTCGATGGTGAGATCGGTGCTGACCGGAGATGATGAGAACCGCCGCCGGATAGCATGTTTTTTGTTGTTGTTTTTTTGTTTTTTTAATCAAGTCATTACCCACCAGCAGAGCATCGCCCTAGCCGGGACAGGCTCAAAACTCCCGACCGGTCTCCAGTCATGTGTGATAGTTTAGTGTATTCGTGTATGTGTGTGTGTGTGAGAGAGAGAGAGAAAGAGCGCGAAAGAGAGAAAGAGCGCGAAAGAGAGAAAGAGCGAGAGAAAGAGAGAGAGAAAGAGCGAGAGAAAGAGCGAGAGAAAGAGCGAGAGAAAGAGCGAGAGAAAGAGCGAGAGAAGAGCTGAGAGAAAGAGCGGAGAGAAAGAGCGAGAGAAAGAGGGCGAGAGGAACAGAGCGAAGAAGAGCAGAAGAGCAAAGAGGAAGAGAGAGCGAAGAGAAAGAAGCGCGAAGAAAGAAGCGGAGAAAGAGCAGAAAAGAGCGCGAAGAGAGAAAGAGCGACGAAGAAGAAGAGCGCGAAAGAGAGAGAGCGAGAGAGAAAGAGGAGAGAGAAAGAGGCGAAGAGAGAGAAAAGAGAGAGAAGAACGAAGGAGAGAAGAGAATAAAAGAAGAGAAGGACAAAGAAAGAGGAGAAAAAGAAGATGAGAGAAGCAGAGAGAGAGAAGAGAAGAGAAAGAGAGAGAGAGAAGAAAGAGAGAAAGAGAGAGAGAGAAGAGAGAGAGAGAAGAGAGAGAGAGAAGAGAGAGAAAAGAGACGAAGAGAGAGAGAGAGAGAGGAGAGAAAGAGGAGAGAGAAAAGAGGAGGAAGAAAGAGGAGAGAAAGAGAGAGAGAAAGAGAGAGAGAGAAAGAGAGAGAGAGAAGAGAGAGAAAGAGAGAGAGAAAAGAGAGAGAGAGAAGAGAGAGAGAAAAGAGAGAGAGAAAGAGAGGAGAGAGAGAGAAAGAAGCAGAGAGAAAGAGAGAGAGAAAAAAAGAAAAGAGGAAGAGAAAAAGAAAGAGAGAAAAGAAAGAGAGAGAAGAAAGAGAGTAGAGAAAGAGAGAAAAAGGGAGACGAGAGAGAGAGAGAGAAAGAGAGAGAAAGAGAGAGAAAGAGAGAGAGAGAAGAGAGAGAGAGAGAGAGAGAAGGAGATGAAGAGAAGAAAGAGAGAGAGAAAAGTGAAGATATGACAAGAAAAATGGGAAAGAAATATTGCTGCGCACTCCGTGGGCCTAATTATTAAGAAAGATCCGGCATTACGCCTGGAGGTGATCGGAAAAAACGGGTAAAAACTGTCATCAGAGCTGGCCAGCATCTCAGAATTCTCCTCCAGCGGCACAAACTGAATTCGATATCTAGCTATCTTGGCTAGAGTTGAAAACCCTGACATGTGAGGAGTCGACCTTAGGGGTCAGAAGGCACTGCAGTAACATATGCTCTGAGCCACGCTCTCGCAGGATCATAAACCGACAAACAGAGTAGCAAGTGCAGAAAGCCAAACATAAATAACAAATGATATAAATTAGTTATTATCAGACACTTAATCTCCTATATCTAAAAAGTTGTGTATTTGTATTCAACTAATGAAAAGTTTCTATTAAAAGATATACAAATAATACAGTGATGAAGCAATATTTTCTTTGTGCTTTTAATTACTGAAGCACTTTTCTTAATTCAACGGAATGAAATGTCTATAAAGACATTTCATAAAAATTTGTTCACCTTCAGATATAATTATTGAAATCGAATTTATAACAATGGCAATTGGCACTTAAAATCAAACATTTTAAATTAAAGCACTCCAACTTAACAGCAAACATTTTATTTGTATCGACTCTTTTCTGTCAAAACAGTATAATTTTAACTAATTTTTGTTAATCCATTTCAAGATTTAATTAGACTAATGTAATCTCATTTTGTAGCAAAATATAACATGTTATTACTACCGATGGTTTACAAATTTATTTAATTCTGTTACGTATTTCATTGTTTCAGGTGAAGTGCTCCAAGACTTTACTGTTACAACAGTTGCTGAAATGTGAGTAATGGATATGTTTATACTGCATTTTTAACTATAAAGCATAATAACAGTATTCAAGGAAACAAAATGATTTTTAATAAACCTCTAAATTCCTCACGCGGTAGAGAAATATTTCAATAATTTACCAAAATCACCGACGAAATCCCTCATTATTTTCAACACATACATTTACATTCCCTACACATGCTGTTTACAAATAAATGAACATACAAACATTAAACGCAAATTACAGATGACACATAAATCTTTTAAATAAAATTACACGTTACCCATAAGTGCTTTGGTCCATGTATGTTGTAAATTAATAATAATTGTTATGGCTTGGAAAACTGCCAAGGTGTTAATGATCAGTTTACATATTCAACAACCAGATAATATTTTTGTAAATGATCCTTGTATAAATTTAGGAAATAATCTGATAGGTAACTTAAATATTATTATGAAATTTAACTACAAAATAAATTCCAAAAGAACATGCAATGTATAAAACAATATCCTTGAATAGAAAATGTTTATTTTTGCTGACGCTCTTGGTTGGAAAATTTATTTTACACACTATCCCCGTTTGCATGGGACTAGACCAGACTGAATTTGGCAAAATATTTCAAAATTATTTCCGTCCGAGAATATTGAAATACGCGTCTTTCAAGCCTTCAGGGAAAGCTGACCATTCCAAATATGTGCATCTCCAGCTAAAACTTCAAAACTTCGTGTTGTGAAGCTCTCCGATCGCACGCCACCAGATGAACTGTCAACCCACATCGCCGGTGTACCAATCACTACGTCACCGTTGCTTCCCCACCTCTCTTTGATCAACGTTCGCGTCTCCGTCTCCGCACCGCCTCCTCAATCTCGCTGTTCCGGGCAAAGACGCGAGCCCCGTTTGGCCACCGGGCAATTGCCAAGTTGGAAACAGTGAATACGGAGAGACCTGAGTTCCCTGCGAAATTGCCATGTACCGGTCCCCCGCTCGAACGCACCGCTTCTCTCCCACGCCACCCATTCCTGCGCACCGTTACCCGCCCCCGCGCTGGCCAGTCCACCATCGGGCCCGCCCCCGACTCATTCTCTTCCTCCGTCGCCGCCAGCCACACCGCCGCGCGCGCGCCTGCGCACGACGACGACCAACATCAATCTGCGTCGCGCCTGTCGGCTCTGTCCCCCAGCCTCATCCTTCATCACTATTCCTTCCGCCCATCCGCCCTCCGCCCTATCCCTCCGCCGCTCATCCCCGCCGCTCAGTCCCTCGCCCTGCATCCTTCCGCCCCTCATCGCGTCTCGCCTCATGTCTCCGCCTCCTCCGTCCGCCTCATCCCTCCGCCTCCCCCCTGCCGCATCCGCTCCGGGCCTCATCCTCCGGCCTCATCCTCCGCCCTCAATCCTCCGCCCTCATTCGCTGCCGCCCTCATCCCTCCCCTCAATCTCGGCCCTCATCCTGCCCTCATCCTCCGCCTCACCGCTCGCCTCATCCCTCCGCCCTCCGCTCGCCTCGCCCTCCCGCTCCGCCCTCCGCCTCCGCCCTGTCGCCTTTCGGCCCTTCGCCCTTCGCCCTTCGCCCTCCACCCTCCGCCTTCACCCCCCGCCATAGCTCCATCCTCCTCCATTGCCGCTGACCACGTTCTCTACCGCTGCGCCCCCGTCGCGCTCTACCATCACCCTCGTCGCCACCGCAACCGTCTTTCCTCCACCTCCATCGCCTCCGCCCCACCTCCCACCGTCTCGGGGATGGCGGCGTCCGCCCCGGTGTGCCGGCCGGCTGGCAGCCAGCGCAACGGGCAAAACTCGACAACAATGCGGCCGCCGCGACAGACGGCGGCCCACGAGCAGGCGGCCTTGGGAAGTGTGCAACGGAAGGAAGCGTGCACGACGGTTGAAGTAATCTCGGAAACAGATACGTGGAAATGCGACCAAACTTCTGCGTCCTTTGAATTATCGTATAAAAAGATTTCTTTCAATTACACATATTTTTTTCTTCTTCAGAAAATCGAACCCAAAGTAGGGCGAGCTTAGTCGCGTCATTTCGTATATCAAGGATGAGCATGACGCTTACCTTAAAATTAAGCAACTTTAATGCGTGATAAAAAAGAAATATCTTTATTAGATTATAAACGAGTCATATGTTTTCTGTAATATATTTATAGAGCACAAACATGTTCATTTAAAAAATATTTATTTAAGATTTATTAACATAATTTTCTATTATTATTTTAAGATTGTTTTACTCAAGTATGTTTTCAAAAGAAACTAGAGGTGCATATTCGTAAATCGTATATCACAAGATTTTTCTGGCAACCCTGCTGAGCAGCAAAGATCATAAGCGCTTGTTCATGGTCGTGAGCATCTAGTGTGCCTATTACTTTATAAAATATGTATGTTAATCCTAAGTTTCAGTATAAACGAGGTTTAATTGATGGTACAGCAATAAAAGGAGTAAATTGAGACAAAATTATAAGTGTACATGGTAACAACCATGCTCTCAAAATATAAATAAGAAATGGCTTTGTTTCCAACAAAGAACTTAAATACAACCTTCGTGACAGACAACAACGACTGTATTACAAGTTCTTGGTGTGCAGGGGTTTATGTTTAGTGCAGGATAGTAGACAATAACAGATAATAACATAAACAGAAAAATATATGAACGTTTAAGGAAACTAAAAAGTTAAAGTATTGAAAAACTTATTGAAAATTACGAGGAATTACTAGCTAAGTGAGAATGGTTGTTTATCCGAAGGCAGGTACTGAAAGTGAAGTGAAAACATGAAGGCAAAATTTTCAGATACTAAGTGTATTTATGATTGTGAAAAACCTTTCGGGACCTAAAGGGGCACCTACTTTTTCGTTGAAAGCAATCTGTCCAACTGACATAGAAAGGTAAAATATTACTTTTGCTATCAAAATGTTTAATGACAACAATGTGTGTGCACTGCGAGTATCGCAAAACAAAAGGAGATTGTGAGGGAACAATTAACTTTCTTGAATTCATTATTAAGTGTTGGAGAGGTTTAAACGTAAAAACGCTTAATAAGGCAGTTACCATAAGGCAAGTGCTCGCGCATATTTTTGAGGATCGGGACGGAAACATGCAAGTCGGCAACACCACGCTCGTAGCGCACTTTATTCAAATTCAGCGACATGTACTTCGCCAGAGTTCTTACACTTCACTCGGCCTACTTGGCGCAATGAAAAAATGCCCATTTCTCGAAATCCTTACATTTGATATTTACCAGATTTCCACAAATCTGAAATTTGATGAATAAAAAAATGTAAATCTTGATGGATATAAATTGGAATGGTGTCTAGACCATGGGTGACATACACAAAGCAACAAATATTCCGAATCACTTTGATATTACTCTCTTTGAGCAAATGGTTGATCTCGTGAGATTATAGATTATTGTATACATTCATTGCTGTATTATTTTGCACTGTGCTGAATGAACGCTTTGTGGTTTTCATTTCAGGACAATGATTTGATTAGACAATTATATATATTCTAGTCTATTATACGTGATACTCAGTAAATTGTCATTTCCATCCTCTCCAGAGTTGCATGATATCTTGACACGTTGGCAGCCGTGATATTATTATAGTTTCTATCCACTGAATCCATTACTATTTCTATCCACTGGATAATATAATATTTTTTATAAATAATTTCGTAAATAATACAACTCTTAAAGGCTTATATTATACAGTAATTTCACTTTACCAGAAGCTACAGTCATTTTCGTATTGGCCACACAAACATTATTCAAAGCAAAAACTTAAGAGGAATCGAGCATACTGTTCAGTAATTACCTTCAGGAACATTACAAGCATACCTTCAGGAACATTACGGCGTTGCGCAATTTACCAACGCGTTTTCACTCTACTCAGACAAGGAAGTTTGGCTATTATTAGCTCTCTTAGTACAGATCGTTTATTAAATTCTGTAATAATACTTTTTATAACTGAGCTTATGCTAATTGTTTAAATAATTTGTATAAACGTTACTCTTATACATTTATTTTCTATTCCTTGCCACGGGATGTGTTTGTACTAGCACAAAAACTAGTCAACAGTGCTTTTTAAGGCGTATTAAAATACTTTATTTTCTACCCGTGAAAAAATAACAAAATTACATAAAAAACTGAGTTAATTTCTATTAAAGTTTCCCAATTGGATGAAAGAAATTACATCCACACATTGAGAATACAAATATTGTAAAAAACAGTATATATCGAACTATCAGCTTCATTATCAAAATAGATACACATAGAAAACCGTCACTGACGCAATAAACATTAGGAATTAGACTATGTCGGATATAAACATCGATATAAATGCAGAACCGGTCGACCTATTTCTCCATTAGTACCAATGTTTTCATACATACATTGTACATTTCCATGTACGTTCACCCTTAACTATTCGTGAGTATTTAGAGCGTGTGTATTTCTTTGTGCATTTATTCAAAACGTCGACGTCAAAACAGTTCCAATACAAATAATTTTACAGGTAATAAATATATCATTGCATTCACAATTATAATGAAATATTACAGCCGATTAACCATACTGATGATTGTTTTATATTTAACTAAATGTTGTCAACAAGCAAGAACGAGCTGACCCGGGCACGACCCAGCGTTGCCAGATGATTAAATATATAACAAAAAATCCTGGTACATTCACTAACCTACCTTGTACCAATGTCAATTGTTTTAAATTCTGAAATCGTTTGTATTTTAACTATTACAAAACTAAAATATATTTACCGCGTGAAGGAAGTTCGTTAAACCTAATTGGATATCATTTTATATCGATAAAGTAAATGAGCGTAATGGAGCGTTATATCCTTTTCTACCAGAGCATTTGTTAGAAAAAGACCATCCTATGTTATTTTTAATATTGGTTTTGTAATTAAATTATTCAATTAGAAAATATTAACGAATATTAAGTTTTACATCATCAATTACTGTTAACTCAAAATCCTAGTATTTAAACGGACAGGGACGTGTTCATCCTGGTACATGGAACCTTCATTAAAATTCTGCTAAAATTACCAGGATCCTGGCACGTTTGGCAACACTGGCACAGGCCTGCGCGCACGTGAACCGCGAGGTGCTGAAGGGACGGGGTGGCTCGAGGGCTGGTTTTTTGTCAGCGCGCCGCATGTTATTTTTAATATTGGTTTTGTAATTAAATTATTCAATTAGAAAATATTAACGAATATTAAGTTTTACATCATCAATTACTGTTAACTCAAAATCCTAGTATTTAAACGGACCGGGACGTGTTCATCCTGGTACATGGAACCTTCATTAAAATTCTGCTAAAAATACCAGGATCCTGGCACGTTTGGCAACACTGGCACAGGCCTGCGCGCACGTGAACCGCGGGGTGCTGAAGGGACCGGGTGGCTCGAGGGCTGGTTCGTGGTCAGCGCGCCGCAGCCCGCGATGTGGAAAACTCGAGAACAATGTGACCGCGAGGCACTCCCACACGGGTAGGCATGGGAGGGGGGCGGGGCAAAGCGCCACCGAGCCAAAGGTATGCCAAAAGAATGGCACAAGCGCGCGGTATACTAAGGTGTGCTATAAAAAACGTATGGAAGTGCATGTCGTTGAAAAAAGATACGCATTAATCTTGGTAATATTAATTAAGCCTACAAACAAGTTTCAATGCGCTCTAAATGGGAAAAGCGAACGCAAGAAGAAAGAACGAAAAAAGAAATGAAAGAAAGGTATAAGAAGGTATGTACATGAAAGTAGACGGAATGTAATGAATGAAGGAAAGTAGAAAAAAATGGCAAAGCCCGCCTGGGTTGCGGAGGTCACAAAGGCAAGGCCATTTTACTCGACTTAAAGGGTCGTGTAGTCAAATCGTGTCTCGCGTACTCATGTTTATCTCTATTTTATAAATTTATTTCCACAGACCAGAAAAACTGCTTTATAAGGATTGTTTTCATATAAATAACAACTGAAAACACAAACATACAAAAGGAAATAACAGATATCCAAATACCTTTCAATCAACACTTAGAACAAAGAGTTACATTCATAAAAAAACAGTCTCTCTTTAGATAATTTTTGTGTCCAACTCTGAATCACCATTGAATTTCCTTCCTTCCTTTCACTATACCCAGCCGATATTCATTACATGTTTCCATAAAACTCGGAAAGATTTTTTGTGAACAGCATTTTGCATTTACTTTTGCTCAAAATCGGCTCCAAATTTTTCAACAAAAAATGTCATTTAGGACGACTTTTTACTCTTCTATAATATCTTAATGTCGCCTATTAGTTCTACCTTTAGTGGACCAAAAAATTGAGAAAATTTGAAAATAAGTACTTTGGGTGGCAATAGAAGGCAGCAGGAAAGATGGATATGCAAAACCTAAAATCGAACCCCGATCAATGAAATTAAAAAACTAGTAGGAATAAATGGTGCCATTTTGTAGAACCACTGTTTTTTGTTAATATACCTGGGCTTAATTCATGACTATTATGCAGCATTTCATGTCACTTTTACACTCAAAACACTCACATCTAGATCGAAATAAGATTGCTTTCTTCTTTTTATAAATGTATAATGTATGCGACGAAAACTGGTGAAGGTTGTTTTCAAATAGAAAGGGTTCGCAGTTGAATTTAAAATCATTGCTCACCATTACACAATTTCCACACTTTTACTTATTATACAATTTCAGAAGTCCCAATGTTAGTTGTGGTTACCTTCATTATCAATTAATTATTTTTTACGCGTGAAACTTCTACTACATCTTCAGGACTACATGTAAAGGGAGACTCTTCTCTGATATTGGTTCACTTGATTGATATTTTTATTTTAACAATGGGTAAGATAATATAGTATGGCTGCGTATACTTCAAAGCAATTATGTATTAAAACACATTTTTGGGTAACGGTCTGAACCGCAACTACAGAACTATAATTCATTGTTCAAAAGTATTTTTAACAAATTTGTGAGGAAACTGCGCATTGGTTCTACTTTTTGTCACATGTACA